TATAAAATAGTGTATGACATATTATTATTATTATTATTATCATGTGTTTATATAGGTCGGTTTGGGTTAGGTGTACCAATTTTTATGTTGTAGAACACAATTTGAATATTCAAAACGTACAAAGATAAATAAAAGTGATATTTTACTGCGTTGGATTCTCGACAGAGCGAATTACGACCAAATGAAATCAGTTTACGGCCTCGAGAAAAATAAACTCACTATAGAAGAGGGCGTGAAATAACTCTGCGGTACTTCATAAAAATCGCGATGGCGTATATAGTCTGTCGCTGTGCTGCAACATCACATAATATTATTGCGTGCGTGTGTACGGGGACCGGCCACGTCCAGAGTTATAAACGAGCAGTAACCCTCTAAAAAGGGTTGTTATTCCGAGGTTTTTCTGTTTTTATATTCCGACGCCATTTGTTTCACGATACCTCATTTCGGAGAGAGAAAAAACGACAAGAACCAGAGAAAATGCCGCCGTAAAACTTGCCACACACACACACACTAAGCTGCATATACTATACCCGTTGAACGGTTTCTCCACTGCAACTTGTTAGATAAATTTCCCTTCCGGATGATTGTTATTATTATTATTATCATCATCAAGAAGAATATTATACGAGTAGCGAGTTTAAATAATAACAGCACCGTTGTCCATCGTTGACCAGTAATCTCCGATTAATTATGGCCATTGAAATCTCGAATATTTAAGTTCGCAAAGTACGTCGTGTATTGGTATAAGTGTGTTATTTGTGGTGTCATGCCTGTCGTGGACGGACATGCATAACCCACCAAATTTCAGTGGAACACTTGAAAATCCGATGTCAGTTTATAATATTGAGATTCCTTTTAAATATTTATGATTTTTGAGGATTTTCGTCTCTTTGATTAGTCTATGGTTTTCTGTACTCACAACAAGGTAACGGAAATTGCTTACCTTACTTCGAACTGCTTATTATCCCCACCAGGTTTAATACATTTGTATTATGCTTGTGCATCATAACCTACGAAAAAGATCTACACTCGCTTACGAGGAGTGTAATATCAGTGGCAAATCTTTGGGGGGAGGGGGCAAAGGGGCATTTCCCCCTCCACGAATCACCGTAGTTGCCCTATGTTTTCCACTGTAATGCTATAACTTAGTAGACATGGACCAATAAAAATTGGCTGGCAGTAAGTATAATATCATTCAAATCTGTTGGTTTAATAATTCTTAGTTACCGTAAACTCCTGGGGGTGTGGACCACTTTCTGACTTATGAAACCGTACTGGGCCCATCCCTCTCCCCCCCACGACCCACGAACCCTTCCACAACCACTTGAAATTCTAGAACACCGCGCCAAAAATAAGTTTCTGTCTAAATTGTGGGTCTCTCAGAGCTTATATTTATATTATCAGCTTCTGACCTTAAGTATTCATAATTCGAATGTTCGTCAATTGAATATGTGAACACATTCAAAAGACCTGCAGCTAAATTTACGACATTGTTTTATGTTTTAAGTAGACTGGTTCGCATAAAATCATACTGTGTATAATCACTGATACGCATCTATTGGCAATAATAAAAAATTATAATATTTTATTTTATCGTTCCTAATATTTAATATTAAATTTAGCGCAATTTCTAAAAGTATGAGTCATAAGTTATGACTCATACTTGTATGACTCATAACCATTGCAGGGTCTTCCGAATATGGTTTGACAAAAATGGTGGGGATCGCGTATTTCAACCATCAATTTTGTCACACGAAATTGTTGAAAGCATTGTGCGGTTATATTATATTCTTATTTATTTATTCATTTTTTTTTTTGAACTCCGTATGATGATATAGATTATAGGAGGTACCTGACCGCTTTTTTAACCGAAAGAGTACAAATACATGTTGCAGACGATTTCCCATATTATAAGACTTTCGTATTTTAAAGTGTACATTATTGTTACAACATTGTAAACCCCATGGCTTCGGGTACGTTTGTTATATTCGAGTATTGTATACAAATATACAATACAATAATAATAATATGAGATCGACAACGACTGTATAATAATTATTACCGCCACTGTGCTGCAGAGCAAAGTCAAAACATGACTTCAGGTTATTCTGTTATATTACTATATACATCGTTTGAGGAAAAAAAATGTGTTTAAAGGTCGGTAAAAGAAGGAACCGAATCCCTCGAAGTGGTACCCACCAGCCACGATACGACGACTGATTTGGGATAAAAAAAAATAACCTCCTCCATGGTGGCATTTACCTACCTCATATTCATATTATTACTATTATGAAATATATTATATAGAGCGTTTAACGCGTTGCCACGGGGGAAAGAATATAAATATGAATTACATTCCACACTCGAACGGATTCGCATTTACATATTGTATACTGCAGCTATAGGTGTAGTGTAGTCCGGGCCGTCACGTCTCGAGATATATCGAAGATAAGGTAAAACGGTTTTAGACACATAGAGGAGAAGATTGTTGAAAGCGATTGACGTTCGTTTCGTTTCTTTCCGCACGCGTCGACGCCGCCAGAAATCGTCTTCTTCTCTGTCATCGTACCTATATATATATATATATAATAACAATATTATAACCATCAAACCGTTTCTGTGTACATATAGTATAGGAATGTATATATTATTATACCTATATACAACGTGCAGGCGGATTCGCGCAGGCCGTGGTTGTCGCTGTGTATTATAATATTATTATTATTATTATTTGTACCTTCCAATATAAAGGTTCGCAGCCTCGTCGAACATAACGAGCTTTTGAACACACCGTATAAAATAAATGCAGACATTCACCACTACACAATGCACCGACTCGTCCCCTTTAATAATTACCATCGCATTAACCGGCGTACTCGAAAATTAGAAACGACGTAGCTACATTATAATATAATACGTACCATCACAGCGTTGGTTTTTGTAGGATTTATAGCCAGTGCTCGAATTGGAAAAAATTAAGTAGATGAGCTCAATCCAACGATTTAAAAAATGCATTCCATGGGCGAAATTACTCAAAACAGACCCGTGGAGGGCTTTGCCCATCACACGATCTCTTACCTACATACATTTTGGATACCACTTTACAACAATACCTACATTTTGAATTCCAAATAGGTATAATATATTTTGATAGCAATATCTACATCTTACATTGTTACAGTAGAAAAAAAAATTAATAATAATCTATAGCCTGCAGTGCTCGAATTGGAAAAAATTAAGTAGAGGAGCTCAATCCAAAACTGCATTCCATGGGCGAAATTACTCAAAACAGACCCGTGGGGAGGGCTTTGCCCACCACACGATCTCTTACCTACACACATTTTGAATACCACTTTACAACAATACATGAATTACATTGAATTCCAAATAGGTATAATATATTTTGATAGCAATATCTACAACTTACATTGTTACAGTAGAAGAAAAAATTAATAATAATCTATTGGGAAAACAAATTAACACTAGGAGCGCTGTCGACGCCTATCGTACTGATGGTTGGGCGGGGTTCCCCCCTACATGCAGTCGGGACTCGAGTCGGGTTTTCGCGGCATTTCGAATACATTTTGCTTTAAGTGAAGTGAAGTGAAGTGAATTTGAACGTATTTGATAATATTAGTAGAAATTATATTTACCAACATATACAGTTATAAAAGCGTATAAAGTTTTCATAGCAATATTAATTTATTATAAAAAGTAAAATAACCAACATAAAACTATATCTATACATCCCGAATTGGAAGGTACAAATTGTTTCCACCAGAGCGCGTTTTGTTAATTTGTTTCCCCAATAGCCAGTGCTCGAATTGGAAAAAATTAAGTAGAGGAGCTCAATCCAAAACTGCATTCCATGGGCGAAATTACTCAAAACAGACCCGTGGAGGGCTTTGCTCATCACACGATCTCTTACCTACATACATTTTGGATACCACTTTACAACAATACCTACATTTTGAATTCCAAATAGGTATAATATATTTTGATAGCAATATCTACAACTTACATTGTTACAGTAGAAGAAAAAATTAATAATAATCTATAGGTAGCCAGTACTCGAATTGGAAAAAATTAAGTAGAGGAGCTCAATCCAAAACTGCATTCCATGGGCGAAATTACTCAAAACAGACCCGTGGAGGGCTTTGCCCATCACACGATCTCTTACCTACACACATTTTGAACCCCACTTTACAACAATACATTTTGAATTCCAAATAGGTATACTATATTTTGTTAGCAATATCTACATCTTACATTGTTACAGTAGAAAAAAAAATTAATAATAATCTATATAGGTACCTGTTTATTCAATATACTATAGTATAGATAACACAATTAATAATTATTGTTTTTGATTCAAGAGAGACTACATATTTTAATAAGTACATATTATAAAAGAATTCAAAAACACTGATGAATGATACCATAACTGAAACTGATAACATTTCATTCGCGGAACACGATTTTATATAATATATTATACTATCACCATAGAACAATCTATTACACATCTGTGCCTTATACTTGTATATATTAGATCTATGAACTATTGATCATATAGGCAAAACACTGCAGGGTAATATTATAATCAATTATTAACCTTGTCAAAAAAAATGTTTGATGTGAAATAGCAAAACTCGTCATATGATTGACATCAATTGAAATTCACATTTTAATAAAAATTATTTCAGACATTAGTTTGCACCGTGCAAGTGAATAAAAAAAATTGTAGGGGTACGCAAAAAAAAAATTCAAATAGTATTGGAGCTCCCCCCCCTCGCACCCCTCCAATTCTAGCACTGTTTATATAGCCATTGCGTTTAAACATTTAAAATTTAAAACGACCCTCGACCCCCCCCTCCTTCGGGTGTGGGGCATTATCGAACCATCGCGTGTAATCGCGCGATTTTCTATTGGTTTTAAGGACTTTTTTCTCTGCGCTCGCTGTACAATTATTTCAAATGTCGTGGTTTTCTTTTTTCCAGAGCTTCAGGGCGACATACCGATCGGAAAGAGCTCCAAGAACAAGGTGGCCAGATCGTCAGCATGTCCAAAGCACATGCACATAGTCACGGTGGCCGCGTTGACCGCGGTCTGGGCCAAAGCCATCGGTTGAACATCATCTCGTCACGACGACATCGAAAAACAAAATTGACTAATCAGATATTTTTTAAATCGATTAAAATGTAACATTTTTTTTTTTTTTTTTGTATAAATGAATATCTACTCGCCAATTTAGGTATTCGCTCATCAACAGACTGGATGTCTACTGTGATCGTACTCGTTGTATATAATATATACATTATAATATTTGCCAATAACTGAACATTTCGTGTTTCGCGTCGTATTATAGGGAGACTTAAATTTATTTGTTATTAAAATTATGATTGTTTTGTGTTGTACCTACTTACGCGTATACCGCGGAGACAGACGACCGCCCAGCCGCACACACAAATCGTTCGTCGACGACTTTCGTCACTATTATCATTGACTAAAACTAAAGTTGCGGTATACAAGTACATGATATCATATATATATATACATTGACATATTGTTGTACTTGTGCTTACCACGGTGTCAGCCTTTGTTTCGGGAACAGGTGCGGTCACGATGGACTTTTGTAAAAAAAAAAAAAAAATCGTTTTCAACGCCGCTGCCGTCGATTTGTTTCTTTGTTATAATGCATATTATTATTATTATTAATGTATACACTATTGAACTACTCTGACGTTGGCCGACGGTCAATTTTCCTACATTACGTTTCGTGAAAACGTGACTATATTATTGAAATATTCTAATTTAATAAATTGTAAATATTAACAAAATTATGGAAATTATTATTATTATTCCAAGCTTTTGGAACACTGTATTTATGCATGTTACATTTAGCAAATTAAGTTTAACGGAACAAAATATGTTTCAAATACTTGAAATTTTACCCGACATTGTTTCAGTTGTTAGTTGTTACTTCATTGAAGGCGATAGTGACGACTATGTTGTTAAATTATGTAATTATTATATAAATATTGTATATTCAAAATTACAAGTTCCGATTATATAACCCATGATGTATTTATGATTAAAAAATAAAATATACATTTATATTTATTTTTATTATTTTTTTTTTTAATTCTGTTTTTCAAAAAACCCAACTAAATTGAGAAGAACAACCAAAGATTCTTACTTGAACGCTGCCCGTCCAAAAACGTAGATGGATAAACAGGTAAATAATATGATGGGAAATTTAGGTAATAATAAATAATGGTTAATTTCGAATTTTAAGTACCTACACAAAAGTTCTTGATATCGACACTCCCGCATCTTTTGTTTTTTTTGTTTCGTTTGAAGTTCTTTAAATAGTAATAATTTGTAATTATTTGAATATTATTATATTTACTAATGGTTACGAATCGGTTACTAAACATTGTTACTATTTTGGTTGCGATAAGTGCACTTCTCTTTAATTGGGGTGCTGATGTAACGTTACCGCTGCACCCCCGGAAGAAAAATGGATTTTCCGTGACGGAAATCAAGTTACAAATTCCGAATTTGTGGTTACGAATGGTTACGAATCGGTTACTAACTAATGATATGATTTACTTTGGAATATTCTGACAAAGGGGGGCCAGGGTAATGTACCTACATTCCGCCTGCATTCTACTAAGTTGACCGGATTACAATTCTTAAATTTCAATTTTTTTTTTTTTTTTTTAGACTAAATCGTCTTAGAATTTAGGGCAATGAAATCAAAAATGTGGGTAAATGTATTACAAACAGGTAGACGTAACAATGGATTTATCAATATAGGTAGGTATGTACTATGTTGGAAATTAGTTTTTATGTCATCGCCGTCACGTGAGAGTGTCTACCGTGGCAGGCTCCGAATGCATCCACTCACACTAATGATGATTTACTTGTTAGTGGCTGTCACACTAATACACTGCTTAATGCGTATAAAAACAACAAAACATCAAAATGTCTCTGCACGACCCAAACGAATCACAGCTTCCAGTTTCCGTAAAAAAATATATACACCTAAAATAAATATAATACAATAATTTAAATCTAAAAAGCTTAAAATAATATAATAATTAAAGTACATAGGCAAAATATTCGATTCTCCTAATTTCAAATCGTATAGGTCAGATATCATAAACGTGCGAATAGTCACAAAATTCTATCCTAAAATTATGTACCTATTCCTATTAGAGATCTTTTTTACTTATCATCAAAATCTGTCACATTATAATAAAAAAACGCACATTTACGAGGTCTCCGTTAGGGACGAGATTTCAAAATTTTAACGAAAATACGATGTAAGGCAGGATTAACACATCAATTCAGCAGAAATTCAACTACTCGATAACTCTCAAAACATAAGGAGTCTCAAACGCTGAAAACCATAATATGAATTAGGATAAAATATTAGACTAAGGCCTCTCCTCCTCGGGAGCGATAACCCAAACATGTTTTGTACACACCTACAAAATATTTATTCATTTTATATTTATGTGCACCAATGAAATATTTAATGTTAAATATCACTGTGATCGTTATGATAAAAAATCCTTTGGGTTGTTTAAAACAAGAATAAACGAAGTGGTCAGGCTAGGCATATAATATTCCTATAATGAGTACCTACTTAGGTACAGACATTATGATTTATTAGTACCCAAGTTCATACTCTTTAGTTTTTTCCACCCTGTTTGATCGAATCAGTTTTAAATTTTAATACAGACCATTAATTTATGGACATTGAATGCCCAAACTTTAGAAAACTTAACTGTGGGTATTAAAGACTTATAAACTTTGATTATTTGTATAGTTGTCCAATCTTTCGTCAGACACTATATTATATAATTTTGTTTGATTGAGATAGAACACAATTTTATACCAGGCCTAATATCCCATGGTTTATATAGGTAGCTCTATATTTTGGACAATTAGTCTATATTTCAGGGGTTCCCAACCTATTTAACTTGACGGCGCATATTATCTTTTATTATACTTTCACGGAACACACAAAGAAATAAATCCTTATTATTTTTTGACAATAAAAAAAAGTCAAGGGCACTCAATACCTAGTTATTCCGCGTAAATAAAAAACATAAATAATTTTCTGCATAATAATATGTGTACCTACGCATAACTTTTAAATTTAAACTTCTATCACTTACTTCTTACATATTAAGCTATAAACTATACAAACTACACACAACAAAACAAAAACTACACGGCACACTTTTGTGCCTCGACACACCGGTTGGTAATCCCTAGTCCAGTAGTTCTCAACCTTTTTTGATTCATGTCACCTTTAGCCACTAGAATCAAACACTGCGTCACCCTAACATCAAAATAATAAACAATCTTAGCGTTAGCTGTATATTTTAAAATTCTTCTTTTCTGAAAAAAAAAATACAGTACAGTGGTGGCATAGGTATATAATATATTTATTATAAGAAATAATATGATTGTTTTCGAAAAAATTAATTTTTTTTTCTTTTCTTGTTAAAATTCTGCGTCACCCCTGAGCTAGATCCATGTCACCCCAGTTGAGAACTACTGCCCTAGTCCATAGTATAATATAGTAAGTACCTAGGTTTATAATATCGTGTCTCTACAATGCATCGCCCATGACACTTGAACCTTGGTCTGCTCGTGTTGAACTAGTTACTGTGGGCATCATCGTCAGTTCACTTACAGAGGGCCTAATGACTTATTTGTTTTTGCCAAAAACCAAAATAATAATTGAAATAGTAAAATTAGCAACTGCGTTCAACTATATTTTATTGAAAATTTAAAACAAGATTCCAAGTAAATAATAAATATGTTATACATAAATTACTATTTATTCACAACAATATCCTCAAATACACTTAGTAATATCATAGGCTGTCTGACAGTCTTCGTCTCTTCGATCAGAATCGTCTTATACAATGTCACAATGATATTATATCATTGAATTCAAATTTAACACCATTCATTACAGTGCCCCACTTGTAACCTACTGTACAGCAGAGCGAGTGAACGACACCAACTCGCCCGCCTTTATAAAACGGTACGTTTTAAAATGAACCTAACTTAATAATATCAATAAAAAGCCACCTATGGTCCTTATCTTACCTTTAAATTGTATAATAGGTAAATTCAGTCTAATATCAAAACTAACAGCACATATTATTGAAACCGGTGAACGAACATTCGCCATGTCTTAAGACGGAGACAACACATGCGGTTTCGACGTCCTCTTAATTGTTCATTTCTAGAATTGGTATAAAATAAGTAAATTAAGTTGATTAAGTTCAATTGGTAAATTGATAGACAACCTCGGAAATTTAGTCGCCAAATAAATAACCCCGTGAACAGATAACCCCATGATATTTTACAAAATTATACTAAGATGGTCATCGGACAGTGATTAATATTTAATTATATATATTATATAGTGGCGTGCGCAGGGGGGGGGGGTGATGGGGGATATATCCCCCCATGGGTTTTTTTTTTTTTAGTCTTCAAACATTCTGGATTTTGAATTAGAGATTTCATCAAAATAATGTGTAGTTTGGAAGTTCCTTTTTAAAATTTCTCATCGGAAATATTAAACTATGTGTTATATTTGGCTGCAATGAAGGTGGTAGAGGTCATCAACAACTTGGTCAACTAGTCATTACAAAATTTGATAACTGGAAGGATTCAACTTCAAAATTCAATAACCATGAAAACACTCAGTATCATAAAATGTCAGTACTAAAAGCAGATAACATAATAAATATAAATAAAAACCAAAAAGCGGCAGTTGATGTCCAATTGAATAATGTTCTTAAAAACAATTTACATGAAAACCGTGAGCGAATAAAGCCAATTTTCATTACACTTCCAGTAACCACAGCGACTAGTGAACGCTCTTTTTCGACCCTTAAACGATTGAAAACGTATTTAAGAAATACGACGGCACAGTCACTATTAAATGGATTGACATTAATGAACATACATAGAGACATTCCACTATCTATAAATGAAATAATTGATGAATTTAGTGTAAAAGCCAGAAGAATGAATTTCCGCCTAGATTGAATTTTTTTGTATAATAATAGAGAATAAAATATATTAAAAATTTACATTTTTAATTATGACATCCCCCCCCCCCATACCAAATTCCTGCGCACGCCACTGTATATATATATTATTATATATTTATATTTATACCATATTATATGATTATTGTTATTAACTTTGAGTCAATACCACCTTACCGTATAACAGTAAGAAACGGGTTCAAATATAATTTATTATAATAGGTAAAAGTTAAAATTAATCTAAATATTCGTATGTCGTTGCACAGAGACAGGGTAAAATGTATAACATACGTAAAATGGTTTATTGTATACACATTGGACTGAAACAAAAATTGAATATTAATTGTTTTATATTTATATATATTGTAATAAATTATACTACAAATGTATTGACTAAAAAAATTGATTATTTGTTTTTAAAACATATAGGTAGGTACATAGACTGTCATTGAAAACTGGTGAATATGTGTTCGGAAGGTCGTAGGTACCTTGTACACATGGTTTTTAATATAGGGTTACTTTTTCGGGGACTTAATTTCCGGGGTTATTTTTAGACAAATCGTTTCAATTAGATATTTTAGGCGTATTAAGAGGATGTCAGCACACTCTTTGTTTTCTCACTCTGACCCACACGCAACATAGACAAAACGAATTTACGCAGAAACATTTTTTCTATGTTTTTAAGTAATCTTAGAGTAAAATCACCCATTACATAAAAGATGGAGAATAATATTTTTGAGGGAATGTGTCATATCGATTTTATATTTTATTATTATTTGACTTTGTATTCTACTTTCAAATAAACAAAAAAATGTTGTACATTAAAATTATGTTTAAATTGTTTTGAGACAATATTTAGACAAATCGATATGACATTCCCTCAAAAATATTATTCTCTATCTTTTTTGTAATGGGTGATTTTACTCTAAGATTACTTAAAAACATAGAAAAAATGTTTCTACGTAAATTCGTTTTGTCTATGTTGCGTGTGGGTCAGAGTGAGAAAACAAATAGTGCGCTGACATCCTCTTAAGATGAAATTATGAATTCCTATAATATCGCATAACCTTAGTTGTTTATTTAGCATACTTGTAGATTTTAAAGGTTTATTTGATATGCATAAAAGAAAAAAAGGTATATATCCCGCTTATTGGTCAATAATTCTATATTTTTATTTTCCATACAATAAGCATTAGGGACTAACAATAAATACGGTTCACAGAAATTGGCAGTGAAATATTGTTTAGTTGTCCCTCTCAAACAATCAATATTATTAATTCTGCTCGCTAGTATAATACTATACTCACAATAACACTTACTTAACTCATATTAGGTAGGTATAGAATATAAAACAATTTATTTTATTTTGCTTCAACCACTTGCTAAAACGAGATTCTGCATTGGAAAAAAAACGCTGTGACCGATTTGTGTGATGATAGACATTTATGTATATTTCTGATGTGTATAAGTTTAAAACTAATAAAATATATGTAATTATAGAATTTAAGGAATTGTTAAAATATGTATAAATAGCGAAATAATACATAGACTTTGATAAAATTGAAAACATAATACATTTAAAGAAAAATTAAATTAATAATGTATTATTATATACATATTGGTTAATGATTGTATAATATTGATTAAATATAAATAAGCTCCTAATCAGACGTTTTCAACTATTAGTTAGGTATTACTTATTACATTTCACTTATTTGTTTAAAATACCAAAAATTAAATTTTATAATTTATTTATAAACAAATTTAACACATAATTGTACTTAAAAATACATTATCAGTCCTTCACTTATAATTATAAACATGTTGTAAAAGTTTCAACAGTTTTAATTACATATTCATCAAGACAAAATAGATAGGAATCATCAGTTTTTTGATATGCATCCCTGCTCTTTTACTTTACCTAATCACCTATATTGGCCACTTCTCATTGGCTGTCCGTCATATACAAAAATCATCCAGTCAGAAGTGAACTAAAACATGAACCAGAGGCGAAGGAGATGCGCGTAGTGAAAAAACTGTGATAATACCTACCTATTTTGTAATGGTAATTATTATTTAACAATCATTGACAAGAATAATGATACCATAATACATATTATATATATATATATATAATATAACTCCAATGCAAATGAAAAGACACAACCAATTTTGTGCAACAAAATGACATTATACCTGCCACGGATTGTACTCACAATTCTCACTCTACTATACTCTGTTTAGTGAGGGACGCGCCGTGCACCGACGAGAACTGGATCCCCCACACAACACCCTGCCATTGGGGAACCGGTTTCAATAGCATGGTAAAGCAGAGGGATGAGCAGAATCGGCGTGCTCTCTCGCTGAACAGAGTATATAGCCATTTATTTTCAAAGTTTTAAGACTAATTAAGTCGGTTATATATTAGATGCACTATACATATTTACGTTCTTCAGACGTATAATTAATACAGTATACAGATAGATGAGTAATGATGAACAATTTCCCTTATAATTATAAATTCATAATACATTAATTACCTATTCAATTATAATTAAGTATACTTTTTAAAAAAACTCTAAATAACAATCAATCAATCGGTTAACAAATGTTGGGAACACAGGAGATCTCGCAGTTGCTTGGTGGGGATGAGAGTAGTCGGACTAAATCTAGTCATCGCCCGGTGTCTTCTCTTTTTGGATGAAGTATAGTAGGTAGTTTAAACATAAGATACTCAAACCATTGATTTCATTAAAAAAATGTCTCAATATTATAATGATATTAGACAATATTGTGTCCAAGTATTTTCAAATTCTTAATAGTTGCTAAATGTTCAGTCCACTATAGATTTTTCAATATTTTATAATTTTTTTAATTACATAAGATTTGCACATTGACAAATATTTTTGTTATTTATTTCAAAAAACAATAAAACTTTTAATCAGCCACATGATTGATAATATTTGATTACATACATAATACTATCTGAAGATTTCTGAACTATCTAATAAATTTAAAAAACCGATAGTAAACTTTACCATTAAAATTAAAAAATAAATTATTGCACTTAACTAAACTGACAATTCTATATTCTTAATGAAAACAAGGATTCTAATACTAATTTTTTTTTTTATGTCCCAATAAATTTTATTATATTCTTTGTGTATTATTATAATTTTAACTGTTTGTTTAATTGATTGAAAAATATTTAATTTATACCATAGTTATAATAATATAACCTATTTAATGAATTAATATAAAAATTGAAGAAAAATAATATTAAAACAATAGTGAAAGTACATATTTAAATTAATATATGTACTTATATAAAATATAAAATGAAAGTGGTATACACACAATCAAAAAAAAAAAAAAAAAAAAAAAAAAAAAAAAAAAACAGTTAAATTGTCAATCATTGGAAAAATAATACAAGTATAAAGGTAAAAACCCAAAATTATTTGGGTTTTAACGTAAAATTTAATTCCTTAAACGTAAAGAATAGTTAATTAATGTACAAGACTAGTTCACTTTTACACACTATTTAGTATCAATCTTCTCAGTTTCCATTTTAGCCACTACGCCATTTGAAATTTCATCAGCAGTATCAATAGTATCATTTGTCTGATTCTGACTTATACTGTCATCTTCTTTTTTATCTTTTTTCTTATTTTCACCGACTTGAAAAGGAAAAAAATAGTAATTAATATAAATTATATTTAAATTAAAATAATAAAATAATACCATCTTCTGTTTCATTCCCTTCACTAGTTGAACCTTCACGACGTCGCTTGCGTGTAAAACGTTGTTGTTTAATGGGAAGCATTTCCATTCCAAGTACTTTATTCACTTGTCTGAAGGTTAGCAATCGCAATGCATTCTATAAATTAAATTCATAATATAAAATAGACTTATTAAATTGAAAAATAAGAAGAACTATAAAAAAATATTATATAACTAAAAAAAATGTTTAAAAAACTGAAGAGTATTTATAATAATACTTTTATCAAACTATCAATACATAGCAGCTGCATCTGATTTGCATCCAAACAATTATATTAAGTAATAGAGTTGAGATAGAGAGCCTACAAAAACTTACCAAAAGATAAAAAAAAAAATCTTAAATCATTTTAACTTATAGTAATTCTTAAAGAGGATTTAGCACAATTTGTTATCCATTGCTGACCCACACGCTAAATACCTAATTTATGTACAGCAGATCCAATTTAGTGATGTTAGTTTTTAATATTAAAGATTATCATGAATTGGAGACAAATTACTAAACTTAAAAAGTTAGAATATTGTCTGGGAAATCTAATATTTTTAAAATTGATTATTAAAGCAATGGTATTTTAATACAGTAAAACTCGCTTAAGACACTTTCCCGCATAAGAAGCTATTTTCCGTCGGCCCCTATATCATCTATATCCCTATTTCATTCCCACATAAGACGCTTTCCAGCTTAAAATGCTCTAGAGAGCTGGTCCCTTAAGGAGCGTCTTAAGCAAGTTTTACGTATTTTTAAAACTGCAATACCAAACATCATAATTATGGTTATAACGCATTTTAGACTATAAATAAAAGACTATGATCTGCCCTAGCTAATATAATATGCTTACTAAGTTTAATAATAGGTAAATTCACTATAATATTAAAGCTAACACAAAATTGCATATGCAAAACACATTGACTATGTTTATCTAAAATAAAATAAATAATGCACTCACATCCTAGTAAGTATTAACATCCTAGTAAGTAATATTACTATGAAAAATAATGCATTTATATTTTATGAGGTAACAGTCTTAGGTCCAAGTGGGAAGCAAAATATATAATTTTTAATTATTAGGGATGGAACTCCTGATGTTTTCATCATTTAATTTGACTAAAACCTTAATTGATGCAATTCAAATCTATCATGGGAACACCTCGAGCACAATTTAACCTATGTACAGTTTTCAGAAACAACTCAAACGAGCTGCACTACGTATGTGTAAGGCA